CATAATCATTGCATCACATTGATGTTAATGAAATTAGTATAAGTATCAACATAAATGAATGTTGAAAATTCTGAAACTCTATACATATTCTGATGAATTACGAAAGTCTAGCATAAGTGAATCTATGAGGTATCTAAAAATTATATATCATTGGCTTTACAAGTAAGTTAAAATGTTAATTACATTATATAATCTTAAAATTGAATTTCACTATTTTTTCTATTATTCTATTATTTTAATGTTTTATTGTTGCATTTTATTAATATTACAATTGCTTCTTTTAGTTTAAATATTAATATCTGTGATTGGTAAGGATAAGAAGTCTACTATGCTAGTTATGCTCATCATATTCCTTTAATATTTCAAGAAAAGATAAAGACTCTAATGAGTAGATTAGATTTAGAGGTAGGATTTTGGGATCCTAGGGCATCATAGGTGGTATCAGACCAATGTTCTGAAGGATTGAAAATTGTAACTAGAGTTATAGAAAATGAATTATATGAGTAAGGGAAATGAGTTTGCAGTCGTATAGAAACATTGACTATGTTAAGTATGTGTATAATTAAATTTCCCTGTTCTTTATTGATCTCATTTTTTATGCATTTCCCCTCGAGCATTCTTGATCAACTCGATTCGGCCCCATCATACCCAATTTGAGTCAAATTGGCATCAATTTGGGTTTAATTTTATCGAATTAATGCAATCGGACAAAATTGGAACCAAATTGACTCGAATTGAGTCAAATTGAGTTTGATTTGAACTCAAATCAGCCCAATTAATTCAAAGATGAGTCCAATTAAATTTCTAAGCACTTTAAATCCTTTCATGAATTAGGAAATTAAATCAATGACTCTATTTGTTCCATATCAGGTGTGATCTACATTGCCTACGAGAATCCTATGCTTTTTAGCTTCTTTCTATGATTGGAGCAGGAGAGGAGCAACTTTGTTTTACTGAGTTATAAGAGCTGGACAAGGATGGCCCTCCTCACTTGGAACTCCTTGTTTTGTACAATAGAACGAGATATTTTTTTGTGCAGAGTTCGAACATAGCTCTTCATTCGAACTCTAATTAAATCATAACACATAGTTTGAAGACGTGGATGTTCAAATCGGATTTCATTTTTTAAATATTATCTTATTAGCCAGATCGACCCGACCTAGAGGTTTAGCATTCCATCCAATTTTAGATTTTAGGGTTGACACTCTTTTTTAAATGAAAATAACTACAAAAGTTCCGCAATATATAAAATTTTAGTTATATAAACTTTTGATGCCTATTGATAAAGAAAAAAATGATGAAGAGCAAATGAAGATGAATAATGGTTTGGAGGAGAACGTTTGTGTTCTTTCGAGTAGAAAATATGCCTACATAATGCAGAGTCTGAAAGGTGGTATGCAAACGCCAAGAACAATGAACCCTTGAAGTTAAAAGAGCTGCAACCTGAAGGAATAATATTTTTTTTTCTATGCACTTTATATTGACATTGATTCATAATAAAGAGCTTATATTGCATTCTTATATTAATTTTGTGTTTTGACATACACAAATTTTTATTGTGAAAATTGTATAAATGTTACTCACAATTATTCCTTACAAGTTAAATTTTGAATGCATATTTATATTTGTTTTCTACTTTTCGCTATATTCTTATCTTTAATGTAGAAGAAAGTAGTATAGAGGAGAAATTATTAACTTATATTAGTTTTTTTGTTCAGTCAAAATCTACGTATTTGCTACGTAATTATTGCGTATTTACTACGTATTTGTTACATGCATATTTTTTTACTTATTTGATGTGTATTTATTGCATTGGTTATTTTTTGCATCCACTGGTTAATCTGCATAGAATTCTACAAGCTCAAAACTAATTCCTCATAAAAAAAATATAAGATAAATGTAACAATAAATTGAAACAAGATTATATCGATAAAATAGAACGAATCAAATCTCGCCCTATTTGTATCTTTCATATAGAAGAAGGTTGTATATTGGTCTTTTTGTTCAATAAAAATCTACGTATTTTGTGCATATTTATTATGTATTAGCTACGTATTTGTTATATATTTACTACATATTTGTTACATATTTGTTGCATATTTACTACGTTAGTCATTTTTTGCCTCCGCTGATTAATCTGTAGAGAATTCTACAAGCTCAAAGCTAATTCCTCACAAAAAATATGAGATAAGTGTAACAATAAATTGAAACAAGATTATATTGATAAAATAAAACAAATTAAATCTCACCATATTCGTATACTGGTCTTTTTGTTCAATAAAAATCTACATAGTTGCTGCTATTTGTTTCTTATTTACTGTGTATTTGCAGTGTATAAGTTACATATTTGTTATGTATTAGCTGCATATTTGCTGTGTATTTATTGTGTTTTTACTGTGTATTTGATGTGTATTTATTGAAAGAGAGTATTTTATTTAGTAGTTTTGAAATAGTTTGAATGGAAATACTAAGAATTTTTCTTGAGTTTAATTACAACTTTACATCCTTTCGTAAAATTACCTTCCACCTCACACAAGATATATAACAAAAAAAATCAAGTATATTCATCCGGAAACCATATTACTTATTTAATTTCTTCATATTCATATTTTCTTTACTATTTGAAGAAATGATGTCAACCTTTAGTCCTCAAATTCTTGTGCATTATCAATGTTGATTCAAGCCTGTATTTAGTTCAATATGTTATTCAATTTATATAACAACTAAGACATACTTCATTCATTGTAATAACATGAGTTATTTTAGGTTGATATGTTATTGAATATGAAGGCGTGCTTTCACCATGTATTTACAATGTTATTAATTTAGTATATCGAATGTGCATCTAGAATTGAACTTATAAGAAAATAATTTATTGAAAAATATTCAAGATAACCTCTTTGCATATTTACATTTTACTGTATATTTTTTATGTATTTATTTATTGCATATTTATTGTGCATAGGTTGTATATTTATTGCGTATTTGCTGCAGATTTGTTGCGTATTATCTGCATATTTATTGTGTATTGCTGCGTATTAGCAAATGTGCATTTAGAATTAAACTTGTAAAGAATACATTTTTTAATAAATTGTTGACAAAGAGAAAAATAAATCACGATCTCGAACACAAACGAACACAAACAAAAACAAGCTGAACTCCAAACTTTCCCTTACAACAAAAATTTGTTCAGGCGAAGCTGCCTCCTCGGACACCTAACATATTCCTTAAGTATACAGAAAATTAGGTTGCAACTCTTTTAACTTCAATTCTTCATCTTTCTTGGTACTGTTTGCATACTTCCTTTCAGACTTTACGTTCTGTACACATTTCATCAACTCAAAGAATGAATGTCCTCCTTCAAACACTTCATCTTCATTGGCTCTTCCTTATTTGTTTTTCTTTATCAACAAATATTAAAAGGTTATTGAGCTAAAATCCTATATATTAAAAAGCTTTCATGGTTATTTTCATTTAAAAAATAATGTCAATCCTAAAACCTAAATTTGAACGGGTTGCTGAACATCTGGTCTGGGTTAATCGAGTCGATAAGACAAAAAATTAAGAACGAAATTCAATTTGAATATTCGCTTCTCCAAACCATGTCACGGAAGGTCCGGACTCCGCACAAAATAATTTATCATCCTATAGAGCTAGCAGAACCCTTTGTCATCGTTTCTCACGCATAAGAGAAATTATTTCGTGCGGAGTCCAGATGAGAAAGATGCATCCGGACAGTGAGTGTACACAATGTGTACAAACAATATGTATAATTTTTGTATACAAATTGGTTTAAAATGTCAAATGTGTACACACTATTTGTACATACTATGTACACTCACAGTCAGGACACTTCTCTCCCGTCTGGACTCTGTACGAAATAATCTATCCACTCATAGAGGGGTGGAATCCTCCATAAAGAGTCCGAATGGGAGAATCATTCGAATTTGCTGAGTATTTATAAATTCTAAACAAATACTTAATAATACTCAACGACAATACTCAGCAAATTAGACGGTTCCCCGTCCGTACTCGGCACGTAATAATTTCTACCTCTATTTCTCGCTTTTGCATGAGAGAAGCACAAACTCCCTCTTCTTTGTTCGTGAGACAAAACGCCCAAACCTTCTGCCCTAGTTGAAGTCACCCCCTCTCTCAGAATCAGACACAACTTTAGTTCCGCCCCCAGCAGCCAAATCACCCAAGCCAGCCCTCCCTCTTTGGTCTCCCAATTTTTACATGAAGCAAGAGCCGAGGTCCTACTTCCCTTCGCCTCTAGCTTGAACCCAAGCTGGCCCTCTCTCTACACAAGTAGCCCCCTTTCTCTTCTTCTTCCTTATTTCTTCCTTCCTTTTTCTTGCCTCTTTTTGATTTTCCCCTTCCCCTTTGCTTTTGATCTCTAACAATAAATGAAGGGATGTGGATTTGTTTGCTTTATTTCTTTTCTTCCTAATACCTAGTCATTGTTCTTTTAAAACAAATTGAACAGCATATTAGATGTCTAATGATGGGCCTCTCTTCTAATTAAACATGTTTAAGGGGCTGGTTGGAAACAAGTGAGATTTAACTTTAGTGGGATGTAATAAATCCTGTAAATCTAAATTTTGTAAATATTGAGGGTGTTAAATCCTAAAAACTGTTTGGCATGAAAAATGTTAAATCTTGTTAAATTTTGAAAAATTGCTTGGTTACATAATTCAGGATTTATGGCAGTTAGGGACTTAAATGTGAAAAAGATAATTATATATTAAAAAAATATGTTATGAATTGAATAACATGTTATATACAAGTTACTTATTAATTATTATTTATACTATTAATTATATATTTAATAATATATATATTTTAAGTTATATTAATTAAGTTAATTATATTAATATTTAATTAATATTATATATATATATAGTCATTTCTCTTGAAGCAAGTTCCTTATGGAAATATTTGAGTCAGATTTCTTATGGGAATAGGATTGTCTCTTTTGGATTTGTTTGAATCAATGAAGGGAAGGTGCTTTTGATACATATATTATGCTTGAAAGAAGAGATATATCCTTGATGTTTACTGTTTCATTTGTTATGGCCATGTGTTGAATGCAAATTTTACCATCAATGATGGTTGCAAGTTATTGAGTGAATGGTGTTATGCGCATACATAGAAAATCTTGTTAAAATTGGAAATGTTCGAATGCATCTATTCCTTCTTTTGTTCACATTTAGCATATATGTTCATGCAGAGAAATCAATGAAGTTGGCTTTGAATAACATCTTGCTTGGTAAGAACAAATTTTCCATGGTTTGTAGTAAAGATAAATGTAATCAACATGTTTGTTAACACTTTGTTAGAGCTTTGCTAAACCCAACCATGAGATAGTAATGTTTGTCATCAAGAAGAGATACTATATCTCGCAAGTTATGATCAAATTAGCACGCTTGTTATACACACTTACGTTTCAATGTTTAGTTTGACGCGAAGCATGTAATAAGGGTAAAATCCCATCCTACAGATCTACATTTATATCTTTTGGAAGGAAATATTCTTTGAACATATCTTTCCATCTAAGATTGATTTTTAGGTTTCTTTTTCGAAGTACAGGAAATAAATTGAACTTGGTATTATATTCCATTTTTCTAGAAAGAATTAAAGTTGCAATGTGTGGTATGAAATAACTTTGATTTGAAGAGATTATTTTTGTTGAAATTCATTTGCCGCCATTGTATCATTACTTCATGTATAATGTTTGAAGGCATGTTTTATACTGTGATGAAAGAGTTTGCAATTATGCTAAGTAGCTTTGCTTGCATTACATTTCAACTATGAATGCAAAGTTGTGTAGTTTATATTAGAAGATGGCATGACCTTTACAAAGGGAGTGAAGTTGCTTTGATTCTTTTTCCCTCAATCACATTGAGCAAGCCAGGTCCTCAGGTATTTATGATTTTTGGAATTCCAGGATTTAATAAATCCTTTAAATCTGAATTTAGTAAATCCTAAGGGTGTTAAATCCTGAAAATTGTTTGTTATGCCAAATGATAAATCCTGTCAAATCCTGAGAAATTGTTTGGTAACATATTTCAGGATTTATGAAAGTTAGGAATTTAAATTTTAAGGAGATAATTATAAATTCAAGATAATTGCATAAAACATTATAAAACCAACTTGAGTTCATACAATATTACTGAAAATTTAATAAAGAGCAAATGAAAAACTAATATTGACCAAAACAAAGATGAACTTTTAAATAAGAGTAAACTTCAATTTTCCAGTTGACTTCATATATGTTGCATGTGGAGAAAAATTTTGTCACGATGATCAATTTTTTGGCTTGCAATCTGAAATAAATAAATCAAGAAATTTTTATAAAATATAATGTAGTTAGAAGTATACAATGCAAATCAAAATTCTTACCCGAGCATTCCATAAATCAATGGCGATATTGTGCCTTATATCTTCACCATACATTTTTTTTCTTATTGTCGCATGTAAATTGGGATCCTCATCAGACATTTCAACTTGGCCACCTTAAGCATCATGTTGCATTTCCGTCTGTGACATATTGAAGCAGAGATCATGTCCGTGGTACCGATCAATGAAGTTGTGTAGAATTGCACATGCAATGACTATATCTTCTTGAACATACAATAGAAACTGTCGCATGTGCGTCAAAACCTGAAAATATTCCTTTCAAATCTCAAAAGTTTGTTCAACCACATTGCTTAGTTATGCGTGCCGGTGATTGAATAACTCTTGCTCAATAATGTATTGCCTAGATGTACTTCAACGATAATCGCCTAAGTGATATTGAGATTCGTGAAACAGTGCAATCAATTTATCAGTATTAGCATAACCTGAATCAACCAAGTAATATCTACCGTGGGGCACTTTAAACTGACCTTGCTCCACCATCCATCTAAGAACATGCATGTTTGCAGCAGATCCCTCCCATCCAGAGGCTATATATACGAATTATCGTTCAAATGACACCGCAACCATTACATTATGTGAAGTAAATCCTTTTGATTACAATAACAATCTTGTAAATTATTATTGATTACTGTCAGAATATATGTACCATCTATCGCTCCAACTGCATTTTTGAAGAATGTATAAAATTGTTTATTTGCATCACAAATGGATGACTATCAACACCTATTGGAGGTAAGCTTATAAATTCGTCTGCCAAAGGCATGATAGCCCGTAGTACCTGATTGAAGTAACTGCTCACAGTTTCTAATGAATGATCGAAGAACTCATATAATTGTCTATAGCTATGCGCATGTGCTACCCCGAATTAGAATATGCCTAGTTGTTCGGCTGCAAGCATATTATTCATGTCGAATAGACGACCTTGGCCTACTAGCAAGTCCCGTAAGCTTATGAATGCATCAGGTGGCATTCTAAAGCACTGGTAGGCTTGTCCTGAATGATCAGATAACAGATCCAACACTTATTGATGACCAATATATGCTCTATCAAACATTGGTCGTCAGATAGGCTCTTTGTCATTTGTGTTCTCAATTTCCTCTAGAATACCCGAGGCAACTTCTACAATGGTATTCGTCACCTGTATATGCAAATCGACCATCTCGCATAGGCCATCAGGAATAACACCACGCATGTAGTTCGACATTGGCTAGATTAATTGCAATAAAATACAATTTAATTAATACCTACTAAAGACATGTAACATCAATCCATGAGTCATAAGTCATAACATGATATAACATAATAAAGAAAATTAACACCTCAAAAAAATTATGTTAACTTAACTGTGCTTACGTTTGGACTTTGCTTGCAGTAGGTTGTCAGGAATACATCTAACAGAATTCAATATTTAAAGTTAATTATAATTAATTAGAATGAACACAATAAAATGTTGTAAAACCTTTTAAAAGAGCAGTCTAGATTGCTTGTTCTCAGCCAAAGTTAGTATCACTTTACAAGATTGCTTGTAACAAGCCAAAATTGTTCTTAAAAGGTACATATGGAATCCAAAGAAGTTTTGAAATTTCCCTTAATTATTTGAATGAAATTTGAAGAAACAGGATCAGAAATAAAAAATTTTCCTAAAACAACACTTCTTATTTCAATGACCTAGTAGCACAAATATCCAGGAGGAAATCTTGCAACAACTCTACTTATTTGAAATGACCAAATAACACAAACATACAAATAATATCCAAATTTTCCTACAACAGCTCTTCTTATTTGAAATGACCAAATAAGAAGAAATAAGCAGATAATCCTTAAATTTGTAATTAAATTTCAGGAAGTATTTTCATGGATTATATACCCTTTCTTGCTTCACAAACTGTCCAATCAAGATCAAACTCCCTATTTTTTAGATAGATGACATTAGATGACTCGTTGCTCATGGATTCAAAATTTTCTTTGCCAAACCTGGTGCAAAACATTCGCTTTATTCTGGTTTTATTTAGTCTAATCATCGTATGACCAAGTAATTATTTTTGCATTAACCATAACAAACACCATATTGCTATGCGATACTTCAAATTGAGTAGCATGGTGATCTTTACAAATTAAACTGAACAAAATGACATTAGTTATTATCTCTGTTTAAAATTGCGCAATGAGAGGTGCGCCTTTGCGCAATTCCTCCCAAAAACGCCTCATAGCCTACGCAATTTTGGTCTTGCAAGAGGCGTACGCCTCACAGGGGCTGAGGCGCGTCTCAGAGGCGCAATTGCGCAATTCCTTGTGAGGCGTACGCAATTCTGGGTAGGGTCCACTCACTTAAAATGAGGTCTTTTTATCTCTTTCACCCGTCTCCTTCAGCCAAACCCGATTTTTTCTCCCTCCCGCACGCTCCAGGTCGCGAAAACAGCTTACGCACGCCGGTTGTCCAGGTAGTGACTGATAATGCCAGTGCATACAAAGCAGCTGGTCAGATGTTGATGGAGAAGAGGACACACCTCTATTGGACACCTTGTATTGATCTCATATTGGAGGATCTTGGTGACTTACCTCAGCACAAGAGTGCTCTTGCTAGGGCGAAGAAGATTACAAAATTCATCTACAATCACTCTTAGGTCTTAAGCTTAATGAGAAAATTTTCAAAGCAAGAAATCATTCGACCTGCAACCACTAGGTATGTTCATATTTTTTACATTGTAAATCATTCCAACTGTATGTTCATAGTTTTAACATTTGGGCACTGTGAATCTATAGGTTTGCCACCTCCTATTTGACACTGCAGAGCTTGATGGAGGTGAGGCAACCTTTGGAAGCCATGTTTACATCAACTGAATGGCTAAACTCTGCTTGGGGGAAGAAGAGCGAGGGAAAGGAGATAAGAAAGATAATTCTGAATGATAAATTTTGGGCTACTGTGACCCATGCTATTTTGAGCACGAGCCCTTAGTGCAAGTCCTACGCTTAGTTGATGCAGAGAAAAAACCAGCTATGGGTTTTATTTATAATGCTATGGATGAGGCCAAGGAGTTGATTGCACATAACTTGGGAGGAGAGGAGGCAAGTTACAAGGAGATTTGGGATATCGTTGATGCTCGGTGGGAGGTGCAGTTACACCGACATCTACATGCAGCTGCATATTATCTTAACCCTCAATTTCAATATTCAGAGAAAAAATCTTCAAATCCGGAGATTAAGCTAGGTCTATATCACTGTATGGAGAGATTAATACCGGAGCAGGCAGATAGGGAGCTTGCAGATTTACAGCTGGTTCTGTTCCGGAATAAAGAGGGTTTTTTTGGTTTGAATGCAGCAAAAACTACCATTTCTAAACGGTCTCCAGGTATAATTAATTCGGTAAATGCAATACACTTTATTCAATATTCTGAATTTTGATTATATTTTCTTCTTGAAAACAGTTGAATGGTGGATCCAATTTGGTGATTCCACCCCTGAGCTACAGAGTTTTGCTGTGAGAGTGTTGGGCCTCACTTGTTCTTCTTCTGGGTGTGAGCGAAATTGGAGTACATATAGTCAAGTGCAAACAAAGAGAAGAAATCGACTATCTACACTCAGAATGAACTCCCTCGTATACATAATGCACAACAAGAGGTTAAGAGATAGGAGGTTGAGGAATAAGGGGTTGAAAGATGATGAGGACCCGTTGGTGTGTGATGATCTGTCGTCTGATAATGAGTGGTTCATAGATGATGAGGCAGATTTATCATTATCAGACTTACAGGTAGAAGATCTAAATGTGGATGTATTGAGGGGCGAAGCAGATCAAACGGGTACATCCACTAGTACCACACCACACACATCTACTAGCTCTGCAAGTAAAGGTATATGTTCTCTGCCAGTCTGCCTGATAATGAGTGGTTCATCCAATTAATATGCTAATAATCTTTTCTTTTAATGAACAGGGAAGAGAAAAGTGAGTCATGTTGAAGATGAAGATGACATGGCATTCATAGATACAATTGGAGAAGAAGATTCACTTGAAGACTGATATTTTGTGATGGGATATGACTTCATTTTATGTGTTTTTTGTATTTTGGGAGTTTTGATAAACTGATATTTTGTGTTTTTGTACTTTGGGACATAATTTTATTGCATCTACTTTCTTATTTTCCATTATTGCTATTATTTTCCTGCTAAAATCCTTAATTTTTCATTTACGCAATTCTGTGTTCGTGAGGCTTACGCCTCAGACCGCCTCGAGGCTTACGCCTCGCCTCACGGACGAAAACCGCCTCGAGGCGCAGTTACGCAATTTTAAACCTTGCTCAGGTCCTCTTAACTAATAGCCTAAGTTCTAAACCAACAAACCAAGGTGAGGTATATAAGATGGAATATTTGATATGATAGGATAATGTAAATTGATTTCTCTCTTGAAACCAATGTTTTAAAAGGCGAAATCATGAATCGAGGCGTTTTGGCTAAGCGAGGCGAGGC